TATATATATATATATATATATACGTACATACATATAAATAATGATTTTTTTGATCAAGGGATAGTTATATATATATATATATATATATATATATATATATATATATATACATACATATATATATATATATATATACATACATATATATATACATACATACATATAAATATTTGATCAAGGGATCATATTTTGAAGAGTTAAGAATCTTATCATGTAAGATAGCTAATATCTTACTAAGTATAACCCTAGTAAGATGATATATGTGTATGTAGAGATAGAGAGAGATAATAGACATAATAAGATTTTACTAGAAACTATAAATATTGATTTTTTTTTTAGTCTAATTAACGTAAAAGATCCATATATTAGAGACCTTAAATAGTTAGGATATTACTGCTTTGTCCACAATGTACTCTTGCTTTAGGGCTTCACATGTTATTCATAGCAAGAGAAGGAGGACAGGTTTTGATGCTTATTATATGAACTGCTTTCAGTTTGCAGTTTTCTTCTGCTGCATGAAGTTAATTCTACAAACAAACAAAGAAATATAATGGGAAGATTTCGTCCTTCGTACTCCCAATCAACCAACGAATGCAAGAAACACGTTACAGATCCTTCCAGATAGGAGACCGAGGGAAGAGCACGTCCGGCGACGGCGGCGGCAGAGGTTGAAAGGCCAGCGGCGAGAACGGGTTGCTGGGAGAGAGAGGCAGCTGAGGGTGGAGGAACCCAGGTGACTGCAGGTGCAAGAACTCGCTGGGCGACTGAAGGTCGAGCGGCGGCGGAGAAGGAGGATGAAGGGACGAGGCGGCGGCGCGGCGGGGCCCGTCGGAGTGGAGGAGGGAGGTCTCCAGGAAGCGCAAGTAGGCGGAGAAGGGAGACTCGGCGGGTGGCGGCGCGAGAGGGGCGGGGCGGGGAGGAACGGGAGCCTGTAGCGGCGGGGGACGGGACTGGTTGAGGCGGCGCGGGCGAGGAAGGGCGGAGGAGGCGCCGGTGAGCTGCTGAACCACGGACCGGAAGTCGCTACTTGGGATGTTGTAGACGCGCGGCTGGCGCTGGAGTGGCGGCCCGCGGTTGACGGCTGCGGCCTCCTTCTTGATGACCTTGTTGACTCCGAGACCATTGTGGTTCTTGGAGTTCTCCATTCCTAGATATTCTCTTCTTCTTCTTCCTTTCCTCTGTGCTTGATTCAAAGAGAGCTGCGAGAATCGATAAGACAGTGTCAGAAGGAGAGGTTTGCGTTGGTCTTTGTTTCAGAGTGTCGTTTAGGATGGGGAAGTTGGAGGATAAGTATCTAAAACCGCGTATTTAGGAGAGAGAGAGAGATAGTGGACGTCAATGAGTCAAAGGTTAAGAAGACACATTATATTACACATGTAGATGCTTACACATCAGTTCATTTATACGTAGAGCTCTGACCATTGACTTTGAGTTGTTCTTTGGGGTGACTTCAGAGGGCAGGGAGAGTCAAGGAGGGAATGGTGAGGAAGGGGAAACACAAGAGACTGTATTCATGTCAACCGCTATCACACTAATAAATCATCAATCGACCCCAAACGTTGTTATTGGTATTATATCAATCGAGGAATATAGATAGCCTAAGTGGCAACAGCAGTTTATATATATATATATATATATATATATATATATATATATATATATATATATATATATATATATATATATATTTCTCTTGAAGATTTTGGACACAAAGTTTGAGAGGTATTTTTTTCATAAAATATTTAAAAAAGTTAGTATCTATTTTAATTATACCATAATATCTTGAGTCTAATTGGTTTGTTTAAGTCTTATGGTACCTTTACGTGTTTGTCCACAGAGAGTCAGTCTTCTTGAAACCTATTATGGTTCATTTAGGATTTATAAAAAGACGAATTAGAGAAAGTATTTAGCTCGGGAACCGCAAACAACTATTTTAGCAAATACTAGGCAATGTAAATTATAAATATGGACATCGTAATTCTAAACAGTCACACAACAAAGGATCTAAGGTGGTCTGTCATAATCAAAAGTCCCCACATAACACTACTATGGAACAAGACAATGAACCAGACTTAGACACTACCCCAAATACTCATCCAATTATGTGTCACTTAGGTAGCTCTTAGGTATTATGTTGTTTGAAACTCTACACTACTCTTTAGAGTTAGAAAACCCTTAAAATAATTGTTTGGATGACTTGTTTTTGAGTAGTTATGCATCTACGAGACTATACATACCTATATTTATAAGCCTAAAACGACTATAAAAGTTAATCAAAATGGACTACCAAATCTACTACCTATATATTGTGTAAAGTATGAATAAAACTGAAAGACTTGGACGCACATGAGCATTACATCGAATACTTTATTTATAGCTTTGTCAATGACATTCTCTCCCATTTATTCCTTCAATATCCTCGTCGAAGCTTTTGTAGATGCTGCATCTCCTCGCCTTTATTGAATCTTCAATTTTTTGCTCCAATTGCAACATGCCTCTTGGCTCTTAGCTGCTCTTTGTCGTTGTTGCTGAGTAGTCAAACTTTGACCTACCATGCTACTTCTACTTGCTAATGACATTGATTGTGGTATGAGATCGACCAAATTGTGTTAATCTTAATTGGTTCTTACGAATTCTTCGAAAAATATCTTTCTTGTTATGTACTAATCTCTCAAACATCTCATACTACTTGAACTAGGTGAATGCCTATTAGAGCTTTAATAAACATCGCCTCATAGACTTTAAATTTTTTTGCTTTTTCCTCCACAAAATTAGCCCATCGATTTCTCTTCTACTTAGTTGTCGTGTCTAAGTTAGTTTGCATCACTTTTGCTTTCGATTGATATTTTGTTGAAAAATAAAATGAACAATCTACTCTTAATAGAACCGATCACCATTAGTGAGAATTTGATAACTATTATCTTTCACTTTCTTCGAAAGGTCTTTGAATGTATGTAGAGCTCATCTACTAGATAAATAGGAGAACTGAGATACTCAGTTTTACTCATTCTTTTCAGAGTTAAGAAGGTAAAGATTACTTAATTTCACTCATCACCTTGAGAGTTACACTCTATGCATTAAGCTAGTTATTAGCCTTCGCTTGTTCTTTACTTATACTTCTGAAATACTCGAAGTATTTGTACTCATTATATTGAGTTAGTTACTATAATTCACCTTCTCATTCCTATCAAATTTCTGGAATGCTAAAAGTTTTACTCGAAAAGGGAAAATTTTGTCCTAACTTAGAGTAAGTGTTCATTAGTTTTGGTCACCTCTAGGATTATGCTATCTTCTCCATTATCTCTGTCGCCTACTCCTTTGAGTAGAAAAAGTATAATATCATATATTGCCTACTTCATTCCTTAGTCGAGCATTCATATATTACCCCGAAGTCTCTCATTTTTGCCAATATTGATGAGAAGCTCATTAACACTAGTCTTACGAAGTTCCCTAGCCTCTACCCTTTAATTTTGCCTTGGTACTTGGAGTTTGCTTTGCATTCTCTATCTCCTGGGCTTCTTTCACATCCAAGCGCTCTCCCTCGATAAGAGTAAAGGATTGAACTATTCTACCATGATCCATTGTACCATATCACCTACTAGTAATATCTCCATTACTTTTTTTTATCTTTGTGGGATGAACTCGGAGTACAATCTCTCCATATATGGTCTTTGCTAGCACATCGTAGGTCCTCTGTCACCTTTAATTGTGTTCGCTTCTTTGACAATCAATCTTCATCCATCCGCTCTCGGGTCACACCCGGATGAAGTATAGCTCTAAGATAGTTCGTTGCTTAGCAGCCCTCGAAGGCCATTGACTTCGTTGAAATTGGTGCACCACTATTTAGATCCTAAGCCTCTGCCCCCCAACATAATTTTTATTGCGCACCACATCCTTTGCAGCAACTTGAATGGTAGTACTATGATATTCTTTAAGAGTATCT